TTATTAAATGGATGTAATACATAAATAGTTAAAAAAAATTTCCTTTTAAAATAGGTAAAAAAATTATATTAATTGAGAATTATATTTTAAAAATTAAAAATTAAAAATATTATCTTTACTCTTCTTTTATTAAAATTTTAATATATAAAAATATATAAATAATTTTATAAAAAAAATTATTTCCCTGACCAAACACCTCCTAAAAGTGGAGGTCTATGGAGAAGCACGTTCCACGTCAGACCGTGAGGGAATGCGTGTCATAACATATTTTTCTATCCTTCTTATTTCCCTAACAATAAATATTCTATTTTATTTTTTTACATTAAATTAAAAATTATATAATAAAAAATGATCAATCCCTTTTTTTTACTTTTTTTCATTTATGATAAAATTTGAATTTAAAATTTAATTATTTCTACCACGAAAATGAAATAAAATTTTTGATATAAAAATAATAAATATTTTATATTATTTTTTTAAACATTGAAGTGGTACTCAAATCTTATACCTCTAAATTTATATAAAAAATTGAGATGGTGACAACTAAACTACTGAGATATTCTTAAATATTTTATATTAAATTAATCGATCAATCTTTACCTAGTAATATGGTATACCTAATGGTAAGGAGAAATAAAGTTCTCGTTCTCAAAAATTAAAAGGAATTTGTTGTGGATAATAATTGATAAGGACCTTACCAAAAAAAAAGAAAAGTTCTTGTTCCCAAAAATTAAAAGGAATTAGTTGTGGATAATAATTGATAACAACCCTACCAAAAAAAACAAAAGTTCTTGTTCTCAAAAATTAAAAGGAATTTGTTGTGGATTATAATTGATAACAGCCTTACCAACAAAAAAAAAAGGTGTGATAACAGCCAAATACCCCGACTACGATGACATTGTTTCCATGCAATCACAAAAGTTAGAATCACACCTCATCCTTTCCTTTGTAATCGTTGTTTCTCCACCTCCCCTCAATTACTTAAAAATAATAATTAATTGGTAGCAGAGTGCCCTCCTTTCAGTTCATGAAATGGACAGTGGGACTGCTAGTCAAGCCAAACACATAAAAATTAGAGGGGTATGGTTTGATTTTGGTTATAATTAAAATTAAATTATTAATTAATTAAAATTTTGACTTTTAAATTTTAATAGTTATTAATTAAATTGTAAAAGATAAATTTTATTGGTTTTGATTATATTTTTAGAGTAACTTTTTGAACCCATTTTAGTTTTTAATTAAGATTTTATTTTTATATTTTTATTAATTTTAATCACTAAAAAATTAAAAATTATCTAAACAAATAAATAAGGACTTCGCTATTAGTACATGTGCATTTGAATTGAATCCCAATGTGAATAATTATTTCAACTTAAAATTAATTAGTAACCTTCATTTAAAAAAAAAAAAATCGCTAACCACAAAAACTCTGCCAGCCTGGGTTCCTCAAGCAGCGTACGTTTTACTCCACTACTTTCCTTGAAAATGAGCCGTTGTGGTGGTGGAGCCCCAAATGATTGTCTGAGTAGTTAAGATAAAGTTATACAAAATAAATTCCTCAAAAAAAAAAAAGTTATACAAAATAAAAGATACAGTTTTAGCAAACTATCTTTATAAAGAAAACGTATAATCAAAGAAAATGTTACAATTTGTGTATATATAAATAGCCACCAGAATAGACATTCTTCAAAGCATACGCAGCAGCATTATCACATTCTCAAAAAAAAAAAAAAGAAATGGCAGGTGTTGCAAAACCATTTTCAGCTCTTCTCCTCTGTTCCCTCCTCCTACTCTGTACCTCCACGGCCATGATCCATGGCAAAAAAATGAGACTAGCATCATCACACCGGCCCTGTAAAAGACTGGTATTTTACTTCCATGACATTATCTACAATGGCAAGAATGCAAAGAATGCAACATCCGCCATTGTTGGTGCACCCGCATGGGGAAACAGAACCATCTTGGCAGGGCAGAGCCATTTTGGCGACCTGGTGGTGTTCGACGACCCTGTTACTTTGGACAACAATCTGCATTCAACCCCAGTCGGACGTGCTCAGGGGTTCTACTTCTACGACAGGAAAGATGTCTTCACGGCCTGGCTTGGGTTTTCTTTCGTTTTCAACTCCACTGAGCACAGGGGAAGCATCAATTTTGCCGGCGCCGATCCACTGATGAACAAAACGAGGGATATCTCAGTCATCGGTGGAACAGGGGATTTCTTTATGGCTCGTGGGATCGCCACTTTGATGACTGATGCGTTTGAGGGTGAAGTTTATTTCAGACTTCGTGTTGATATTAAACTCTATGAATGTTGGGAGAAAGCTTGAATCTCCGTCTTTTCTTATTATGGAAACAAAATGCTGTCTTCGGTTTCTTCTTTCATGTCAAGAGTGATATCTCCAACTAATAAAATGTTAATATTTTGAAAATTTTTGTAAACCTAGCATGGCACCTTAACATACTTACATGTCAACACATGTACACCTTGTTGAGCTAGCCCTCCCAAGTTGGGCGGCTCAATAATGGAGGTGCACCTCGAGTGCGCTGGTAATGGGGAAATTTGGGAAGTTTTTATTGGAAGATGAACAGTAATTCTTGACATGAACTTTTCTCTTATTGAAAAAAAGACATAACCCTACTTTTAACTTTTTACCTTGTTAAATTAAAAAGTTTTACCCCCTCACTTTATATTATAATATTTTTAATTCACTACTTTACTAAATTTATATGTTTTAGCTCTTATTTTATATTATAATATTTTTAGCCCTTTATCTATTAAAATTAAAGAAAATAGTGCTTACTTTATAATATTTTGTTAATTTTGTTAGTTGACTGTTAATTGATTATTAATTATCAAAAATTTTCTTTCAGCTAATAGAATTAACAGAACTAATGTTATAATATTTCGTTTATTCTATTAATTAGTTATTAATTGACTGTTAATTAATAAAAATTTACTTTCAATTAACAAAGTTAACAATCAATATAAAGTGAGGGTTATTTCTTTCAATTTTAATAAATAAAGGATTAAACTTAAAAATTTAGTAAAATGAGAAGTTAAAAGTATTATATTATAAGGTATGAGGTTAAAACATAGGGATCACTATAATGTTTCAAAATTATTTTCTTTGTGGGGTCTACGGTTTGTGTTTTCATGTTATGAGTTGTACTCTGTACATCTTGCTCCCTTTGTCTCTATGCCAATTGTCCTTTTTGCCTAATAAAAGTAAAATTGTTTGCCT